GAACACAGGCCTCCCACTACCAAGCTCTGGGGAGACCAGTGTGCCCTGGTGGCACAGGGCTTGTCATATGCCAGCCATTCCAGGCTTGCCTTTGTTCTGGTACCTTGGTGCCTTTGACTCCAGACCCTTTCCTATGGAAACCCTGGGCTATTTATTTCTCCTGGTAAGTAAATCCTAGCCCCATTCATTGGGAACAGTGGCCGGCACAGTGGGAAATTAGCCCAGGGGCAATTGTCATAACCAGCCCGCTGAAGCTGTGGGCAGCTCTCTTTGTATCTTACTACCACCACCCTCAGATCAATTTGGCCAAACTTCCTTGGGGTTTCATCAGGAATAGCTAACATCTAGTTTTATTATTAAATGTTTATTTTAAGAGCAATTCTTGGCTATTGTACAATTGGGGGTGGAGAGTTGGTAGAGGAGAAAACCCACTGAAGATTACAAAGAAAGATGACTCCAAACCGTTTTCGCTTCATTCGAAGGCAGCTGCCTGGCCCCTGACCCAGAGCAGTGGCATCATAGCAATTGTGTGTCTTTGCCATTCTCAGGCCTAAACCACCCACATGCACACACACACGGACACACATGCACAAACATGCAGTGAAACTACACAGAGTCTCCAGGGAGCACACTGTGTTTCTAGTAACAAACCACAGTCTGCCTCTAGGACGTGTGACCAGGCTTTGCTCTGAGAGAGAAGGTTCCACGGGAGGGGAAGTGTTCCTGCCCAAGCGGCAGCCCAGCCTCCAGGCAGCGGTTGGCAAGCCCCAACAGGATGCCAGGTTGGCTGGTGGGCAGGACAAGACGCCACTCTGAACCTCTCCCCATTGTAATTTACCAAATCTCTCTGGGGCTCCTTTGAGCCTTTTTCTGGAAATGCCACATTTCAAGGGTCTCCCTGTTAGAAAAGGTCAGAGTTCATGTGGGCCTTTCATGTTAAAGCAACTTGAAAGAAAGGAAATGTATATTTTCGGCCTTAGCTGTGATTAAGTGGGCTCAGGCCATGAGAACACTTAGATGGTTTACATGACGTTACACGAAGAGCCAATTAGCCTAACAACTTCCGAAAAATTTCTAGCTCAAGAGCACCCGTTTATTAGAGCACTTGGAATGTGCCAGGCGTTGTGCTAAGTTCTTTCTTAGGATATATGATTCATGCATCTCAGCCTCGCTCCCACAGTGCGAGGCAGGTTCAGGTGTGATACCCACTTTGCCCACAAAAAAGCAGAGCCTCAGAGCGGGTCAGTGGTTTGCCTGGGGTCCCCCGGCTAGTAAATGGTAGGGCAGGGATGAAATCTCAGGGCTGCCTAAATCCAAAGCCAGAGCTTCTTGCTCTAACCCCCAACCCTTGAGAGCTCTTTGTCCTGCATCCAACATCTGAGGACAGCACAGGTCCACCTGGTTTATTTGCATGAAGATGAAGCCTTGTTAAATCTCCAGCTCTGACCTGGGCTTCATAAGCCCAGAAGACTCTGCCCCCCTGCAGATTGCCTGGTCCCAAAACTCCCCTGGTCACATCCAGGGGCAGCCACAGCAGATCTTACCTCCCCATGGACGAACACCAGGGCCTATCGCTATGGCATCTGAGTCCGTGTCCAAGCAGCTAGTCTAGAGCGGGCCCAGGGGTGAGATGGTACTGACTGAGGTTGCTCAGACTCCGGGAGACGCTCTAAACCGTCTTACCTAGCAGACAGTTGAGCCACCCTACACAGACCAGCCACAGGATTCCCCCGTCCTCCTGGCAGCCCCTCCAGGCAGCATGAGTCAGCCAGAAAGTAGGAACTCAATTATTGGGCAGCTCACTGACATTTGTCTGCAAAGACCACAAAGCAGAAAAGGACCCCGCTGAATTGTAAAGGTCATAATGGAACACTAGTGAGGGTATAAAAGGGTGTGGGCTCAGCAGTTAGATTGCCTGGGTTTGGAATGCTGATAACCTCCCTTCCAAGCTGTGAGACCTTGGGTGACTTATTCAACCTCTCTGGGCTTTAGTTTCCTCATTCAGACTGGTAAATGAGTACAATCGTCCCTGTATCATAGGATTGGTATGATGTTTAAGTGTGATAATGTGTGTGAAGCTCTTGACAGGATGTCTGGTACATAGCAATCGCTCAGTAAAATGAAGTCACTGTGTGGATGATGACAGAATCAGTGCTAACCAGACAAGGAAGGGGCTGCTACAGGGCCTGCACTTGCCTTTTAGGGACAAGCCTGAGCTCCTTTTCCTCGCTGTCTCTCCAGGCCCAGATGAAATCTTCCTACTCCTGGAAGCCAACCTGACCACTCTAGCCCCATTGATCTCACCACATCTGAGCTCCTTCTACTCATGGTTCATACAGACTAATCCAGCAACGAACTTGGCTCTAATCATTTCTCAGCTTCTTAAGCTGCTAAAGCGGTCTCCTGAGCCCCTCCCCTCTCCACAGCCTGAGCTTAGGGCTAGGTACTCAGGTCTTCAGGCTGATTTCAGTGTGGCTGTGGATATCTGAAACTCAGCCTGTCTCTCCCTCCCTTACCCCTCCTCACACACCTATTTCCCTACTCACCTGCCTGCTCCCTGTTCCACCCAGCAGGGCAAGAGGTTGGAGCCATGACTCCACAGGGCGATGGTTCCCGGACTTCAGGATTTCAGAGCCCTATAAAATGCCCAGAGAAATTTGGGGGTGGGAGAGTGAACAGAGTTGCCAAGCTTTTCTTTTGCCAAATAAGAACATTAAAAAAAAAAAATCAATTCTCACCATCATTTCAGTAAAGAAAGGCTGTTTTCACACCAATAAAACAAAGTTCATAATCTCTGATTAAAGGCTAATACTTTAAGCTGAAAAAATGTAGCCCTCTTGAAAAAAAAAACAAACTCACTCACTGTTGCCCTGACTTCTCTCCTTTCTCTATGGACTGGAGAAAACTTCAGCCTGTGTCTTCATCGCTCTGGGGAACTTTGTCCTGGAAGAGGCTCCTGCTAAGTTGGGGTCACCTGAAAAGGCAGGAAGACCCTCGGAGCCTTTGGGTTAGGCAGATCCGTATTCCCACTCAGCTGGAACAGGGGAGGCTCATCCCAAAGCCAGACCGGACATCTTCAGGGGTTGAGGTGGGGGAGGCCATGGGCCCCTCCTCCTGGGCCCCGTCTGGCTGGAGCCCCTCCCCATACTCTAGAGGGGATGAGGTGAGACTGAGCAGCAAGCTCACCCCAGAAAAGCTGACTGGGGGGACCTAATGGGCAGGGTGTTCCACACCCTCCCATGGCCTTACTGAGCACTCGTGCCCACCCGCCAGCCCCATGCCTCCTCCGGCCCCCCGGAAGGGAGGAAAAGAGGGCACTCCAGCCCAGAGGTGGAGGGGCCGAGGCGCCCCGCTGGGCGGGCGCAGATAGGATCTAAGCGGAGAAGGACGGCCGGGCTCTTTGATCCGCAGCCAGCCAGGCTGGGCCTGGACCCCGAGGGGCGGCGCGGCTCTCTTCCGGCCCGACTTTGCACCGCAGCCAGGGGTCCTACGAGGCTCTGAGCCGGAGAAGCGTCCAAGGCACCCCCCTTTCCAAATACCCTCTGGCCCAGTTGTTCTTGGGAGAGATGGGAACGTCGACTCTACACTGAGTCCAGCACAGAAACCTGCTGGGGGCTGCGGTTCACTGCACCGCGACTCAAAGGGGCCCAGATCCAGGGGCTGAGCGGAGGCCAAGCGTGCTGCAGAGGCCCGAGTGGACTTGCCCCCTGGTGCCTGGTAGATGCGATGTAAGCGGACGCGCTGCCCGCGCTCCTCCTGGCTTATAGACCCTGCAGCCTGGATCTTGCGAGGTCCCGTTTGCGCCGGGCTCGGAGTCAATAGGCTCTGCGGGAATGCGACTTCTTCCCGTGTTAAGTTGCCTGGCACCCCCGGGCCGCAGGTTCTAGGCCTGGAACTGAGTTGGGACAGCCGTGGGAGGGAGAGGGTGTGGCTGGAGGATCCCCATGGGGGGGGGGGCGGGCGGGGAGCGGGGTCCTTCCTCCTTGTCCTGCTGCTGTATTCGCGCCTTGGAGCCGCCACATGGCCGAGAGGCCCTCACAAATGTGATGTATGGCCCCACATGTAACAGGCACTCAATAAATGTGTGAAGGGCACATGCTGGTGTTCGCGCTGTGAGGGGACGACCTCATTGGCTTAGGTTTGGAAAATGGGCTTGGAGGAGGCCAATCCTGTCGGTGCGGGGTTGGAGCACAGCCTCCGAGCAGCCCCAAGCTCTAGGAAGGGCCCAGATCCAAGCCCAGGACGTACTAGGCTCAGGGCACAGACGCAGTTCACACTTTGGCTCCTGCTTTAAAATCCCCGCCGTTTTTCTGGGTATCCGACGCCTCGCTCGGGTTCCGCCGGGAGAGCGAGCCCTTTAAGAATATACCCCTGGGCGTGTCCCGGCCTCTCCCGGGAGAGGAGGGGCGGGGCCGGGCGACTTGGCTCCACCCACCTCCCGCCCCGCCCCCGGCGCCCCGCCCCGCCCCCGCACTCCGCCGGCGGCCGGTTTGAGTTCCGACCCGCCAGCTCCCGACCGAATCGCCAAAGCGCGGCGTGCGGGTCCATAGACTTTTGGATGCCGTCCAATACCGGCCAAGGGGTAGGCTGGTAGCGAGCCATTCTAGCGGGCCTTATGATCGGTGGGTCCGAAT